GGTTTGTCTGTGGCTTGCTGCAATCCTAAAAGACCAACGCTTTGGAAACAGACATAGTGTTCACTGACACTTTGACAAGGTTTGCAATTTTATTTTTCAACCCTCTTGGAAATTGCAGTCTGAAATGCCTTCATACTTTCAGTCTTTAATTTCGACAAAGATTGATTTCTTCTTTTTTTAGACGGATTTGAAATGTCAGGGAAAAATAACTTCAACCTTTTGTTTCATATATTAGATGTTTTGTCTGTATCGTCTTGGTTTTCAGACTCAGACTGGAAACTAAAGTTAGCCCTGGCAATTTAAATCTATGTTAATATTTTTTAAAACATAGTCCTGGTCTGAAATACAAACACGGAGCAGTTTATTTATTATACTCTGGGTTGCAGCGCTGCTTCTGCTTTTTAAGGAATGCTTATTGTGAAATCACCCATACTGTACTTTCTACTGAAGTAAATTCTTTACGGCTTTTCTCTATTGTTTTGTCACTAGTTTTACCATTTTAGAAGCAGTGTATGAATGTCACTGTGGGGTTAAGAAGTTGTGATGAACAGTTGCGATTTAAAAAAAATAACATAAAACCTACATAAGAAATTGTCAAGTGTTTGGATTGCTGATAAATTCAAGTTTGCTTTTCAATTGAATACTCTTCTGTCTAGGGGTGCACCGATAGCAGTTTTCTGGCCGATCACCGATTTCTAAAAAGCCTGACCTGCCGATTCTGATTTTGGCCGATACTGACACTCTCAGGTGTTATAAGGTCACAATGCACCTTCAATTTTCCAATATTATTTTATTGAAAAACATACATTTGAACAATATCCTAGAAACAATACAAACTTGTTTTAACTGGCCATGAGGTAGTGCTTTGAAATATAAATGAAGTTAAGACAATTGTTGTTAAAACTGTAAAAAAAAAAAAAAAAGGTAAAATCCGTTTTTCATGTAAGTTTTTGCCAATTTCCCAAAATTAAGGAAATCGGGGCTGATAAATTGGTTGGCTTTTGCAGAGTTAAAGTTATCACCAAGATCTAACAACCAGTTTGCTGGTGACAGCCAGAACTAGCTGTTCCTATGACAAAGGAGGACCATCAGCCTAACAATTAATCGTTTCTTTTCAAGCTGGAAAAGGGTAGAGTGCCCTCTGGGTCAGGGAGGAGGTCCTGCCCCAAGTGGAGGAGTTTAAGTATCTCGGGATCTTGTTCATGAAAGAGGGAAAAATGGAGTGAGTGATCAATAGGCGGCTAGATGTGGCATCTGCAGTGAAGCGGGTGCTGTAATGGTCTGTTGGGGTGAAGACAGAGCTGAGTCAAAAGACAAAGCTCTCAATTTACCGGTCGATCTACATTCCTACCCTCATCTATGGTCATGAGCTTTGGTTTGTGACAAAAGAACAAGATCTCGGATACAAGTGGCCGAAATTAGTTTTCTCCGCAGGGTGTCTGGGCTCTCCCTTAGAGATGGGGTGAGAAGCTCGATCATCCGGGAGAGACTCAGAGTAGAGCCACTGCTTCTCCACGTCGAGAGGAGCCAGTTGAGGTGGCTCGGGCATCTGGTTAGGATGCCTCCTGGACGCCTCCCTGGTGAGGTGTTCCAGACACATCCCACCAGGAGGAGACCCAGAGGAAGACCCAGGACATGCTGGAGGGACTATGTTTCTCTGCTGGCCTGGGGACGCCTCGGGATTCCCCCAGAGGAGCTGGCCCAAGTGGCTGGGGAGAGGGAAGTCTGGGCCTCCCTACTTAAGCTGCTACCCCCGCGACCCGACCCCAGATAAGCGTAAGAAAATGGATGGATGGATGGACGGTTTCTTTTCACAAAGACTGCTTCCTTCATACCTCTCTCAAGCCAATGTTCCTCTCTATCAAGAATGTGTACATCTTTATGCCTGAAAGAGTGACCGCTGGCTTCAGATGAGTGTAGACTGCAGAGTCCTGGCCTGATGGTGTTGCTCTTTTGTGCTGGGCCATCTTTTTGGCCAGTGTCTGTTTAGTTTCCCCAATGTAAGACTGATCACCCTCCTGACACTGAACAGCATACACAATATTACTCAGTTTGTGTTGGGGGATGCCAAGGCTCTCTTTTCTACCTCCTCTATGGCATTCATTTCCTTTTATATATATATATTCTTTAAATTATTTGAAATTGATCTGTTGTTTTTACAATAGATCAGTTTCAAGGAATTTAAACATCGGCTGCTTTGTGTAACAGCAGTGTATGAGAAATCTAAAATTTAATAACTATTTTATTCATTTGAAAAACATACAAAGAGCCTCTGTGCTTTTTAGGATGATGCTAATTAGCGCTTTAAGTAATTATAAGCTCATTCCTAAGATAAATTTGGATTTCGGCTCTTTATTAGTCAACCTCCTGAAGTCTGTATCTTGAGTGGTTGGTTCGAGGCCCAATCGTTAAAATGCAGAACACATCTTGGACTCGTTCAGCTGTCTTCAGATTTGTGTTTGATTTCTCTTTCATAGCTCGGCTTGATCTTCTTTTGTCTCTGTCTAACCTCTTTTGGTATCAATTTATCTTGGTGAATGGTTCCAGTCATGGTGCTCCATCTTTCATCCATCATTCGCCTCTTGGTTTTTCATTTGGCTTCTCTATCACTTTACCTTTAATTTTCTTTCCCTGTACTTTCGTTCCCTATCATTTTTGCTCTCCATTTTGCCAGTGGAAGCTGTTGGAGAATCAAGAACACTGATAGTCTTTTCATTCAATTGATGTTTTAAGTAGGCCTGTTGCGATAAACAATAAATCAATTAATCGCATGATTAATGAAAATTATCGACCTCGTTTTCATTTATCGGCTTCATCGTTTCTTCATGTCTCTCTCTTTCTACCGAAGACACCGGATGAAAAAAGGCTCAACTCCGGTGCTCTTCATTGACCCCTCCCTTTCTCTTTTCTCGTTAAAATCCATTTTAAACATCTAAAATTGTGTTTTTGGATCAAGCAGCTAAGCTGAGAAGCTAAGCTAACAGGCCAACCTCAGGGAAAAAAACCTCCGTCTTGTCGAAGCTCCAAAATTCATTGTTGAAACCCGTGCCTTTGTGTAAAAAGTTGTTTTTCTCTATAAAAAAGAAGCTGAGAACTTGTTTACTGATTTTTTTTTATTTTTTATTAAAAGCTTTGTGTGAAAAATGCTATGCTAAAGAGCTCAAACCACACCGAGTGTCCGCCAATTAGAGAACCGAAAAAAAGGAAGGAGAGACCGCCCATGTCACGTCAAGGGACCTCTTTCCCATTGTTCTTAAAGAGACACGCTGCTCGCTCCCTCGCTATCCATCTTTCGGTTCAGTCTTATACTGTCATTTGGAGGTCATAAAAAGGTACTGCACACAAAACAAATGAACCAACATTTATTATTAAATTTGACAATAATTACTAATTATTGTCAAATTTCAAACAATATATCGTTTATCACAATAATTTCTGAGACCATTAATCACCCAGCAAAATTTGTTATCGTGACAGGCCTAGTTTTCAGAACAGAACCGTCTTTCATACAGAAATTATTTTAAATTGACTCTGTGATTGAAGTAAATTGAGATGGAATGTCTGTAAATATGAGTCTTAATTTCCTACAAGTTAGTGATATTGAAATGATCATTTTTATGATTGTTTCTTGCTGCTACATTCAGACATTCATCAAATGGATCTGAAGCGAGCCTCACTGCTTCAATATTTGCCATTCATGCTAGATTAGAGTTACTAAGATGTCGAGGCACATATTTTCCACAAGATTACACAAATTTCTGAAGTTTTATAAAATGGCAGTAATATGTTTCAATCTAAAAACAATTCAATACCAAACCAGTCTGATATTATTCAATTTGTTTGGGGGTGTGGGTCGATTTGGTAGATGGGGTGCTCAGTTCTGTTGATGGGGTGGGGCACCCCATTTTTATATTGGTAAGGGAAACACTGATGAACTAAGAATACACTAAGCACTAATAGTACAAAACAATGTGTCAAACAACAGCAGCACGAACATGAGTATGTGAGCAGATGAGGACGAATGAACACAGCAACATGAAATAATCATCAGCATGAGATCAGCATCATGGATAATCAGCAGCACATATCAACATTCAGTCATTTCATTACAGTGATTTTTTTCACAGTGATTATCCTAGTTAGAGATTCATGAGTCTAACAGCTTCAGGGTAGAAGCTGTTCCTCAGTCTAGTGATTCTAAACTTAATGCTCCTCAACCTCCGGGGCAAAACATGTGTGTGCTGGGTGAGTGGGGTCCTTCGTGATGCAGTTGGCCCTCTTCCTGCATCTGGAGGTGTAGATGTCTGTGATGGTGGGGAGACTGACTCCAACAGACTTCTGTGCAGCCTTCACCACTTTCTATATAAAACCAAAGAAGTTCAGGCAGATTTAAATATTAGTGCAAGTCATTTATTAGTTTTTATTTCCAGGCTACCACATGCTCTAGCGCCATGCAGTTTATAAATTAGTGTTCATCTTACAAATACGCTTCATCCAAACAAAACCGATGAGTGACAGATTATTTTCAAGTGTTACGTGTTCTGCTCAGTTCGACTTCTTGAAGACATTGGGTTTAATTAACTTTCATATATGAGCTTTATGGGCTCAGTGTCAGGGTGGGAGTTGTATTTGATAGTCTGCAGTACAAATATTTTAGGGGTTTGCTGTGTGTTTGTGTGAAGGGAAGGTAATTTAGTAGCCTGGTTTTGTCCACTTTGACCTCCATCAACAGTCCTGGGGAGGCACTTTGTTTGTTTACAGTACATTCTTAAACTTAATTACAACCTGGGAGCTATTGATCGTAAAACAGACACGGTGCCATCGATCACAAACTGTCCACCAGTGAGTTGGGGACAATTCATCTAATAAATGATATTGAGGCTCATGTGGAATAATAAAAAGAATAGCAGCAGTGTGTGACCACATGTTTAGACGATGGATTGCCTCTTTGATTTTATAAGAAGGTTTTTAAGGCTGAACAGTTTTTTCTCTGTTTGTAGGGGCGGTCTGCTTCCATTTGGCACGTCCTAATACAGATGGACATCAGGACTGAACACTGACGAGTGGAAGCTACACGTTCCTTCTCACCCTCTTACCCCAAAACACCTCCTGTCACACTGGCAATGTCAAGAGTCCCGAGTCCCCCTCCCCCGGCGGAAATGTCCAGCGGGCCTGTGGCGGAGAGCTGGTGCTACACACAGGTAACCACACGGACCACGTGACATCATGTGTCAAATGTGACATGCTGCGTAACTTTGTTTTGAATCAATCCAAGCTTTGCTGTGCTTTTTTTTTTTTTGAACAGATTAAAGTAGTGAAGTTCTCTTACATGTGGACCATCAACAACTTCAGCTTCTGTCGCGAGGAGATGGGGGAGGTCATCAAAAGTTCCACCTTCTCCTCAGGAGCCAACGACAAACTGAAATGGTGATTTGCTGATTTGTTTCATTACAGGAAATAGACTGCAGAAAAACCAAACCAAACCACCCTGTTTGATGGGAATGAAGGAGAATAAAACGATATGTTCTAATCAGGAATGAGTTAAAGACACATTATAAATACTTTATCAGCTTCACCTCTGTTTGATCAAGAGTTTCACTGCATGTCCAGGTGTTTGCGGGTGAATCCCAAAGGGCTGGATGAGGAGAGCAAAGATTATCTTTCCCTCTACCTGCTGCTGGTTAGCTGTCCGAAGGCAGAGGTGCGAGCAAAGTTCAAGTTTTCCATTCTCAACGCCAAGGGGGAGGAGACCAAAGCCATGGGTGAGCTTTGGTCCATCATAGTCTTCTGTGGAGTGTACATTTTTTATTTGTATTTGTTCTAAACTTATCTCTGGTGTGTGTGGCCTCTCTGCAGAAAGCCAGAGGGCGTATCGCTTCGTCCAGGGAAAAGACTGGGGTTTTAAGAAATTCATCCGGAGAGATTTCCTCCTCGATGAAGCAAATGGTCTTCTACCTGATGACAAGCTCACACTCTTCTGTGAGGTACATGCATGACTTTTTACTGATCAGCACCCCCTCACACACCTCCTGTGTTCATTCCAGTGTAGTTTTCAGTGACGTTCTGTCCATCAGGTCAGCGTGGTGCAGGACTCGGTCAACATATCTGGTCAGAACACTATGAACATGGTGAAGGTGCCCGACTGTCGACTAGCAGACGAGCTGGGGGGGCTGTGGGAAAACTCGCGCTTCACTGACTGCTCCTTGTGCGTGGCCGGCCAGGAGTTTCAGGCCCATAAAGCCATCCTGGCAGGTACAGATGGGATTCATGTTCATAGTCCTTGACTCGTTTCTTTAGTTTAAACCTGAGAGCTTGTAACGCACAAGTCTGAACCGCCTCATCTTCTCATTAACGTGCATCATCTCCCTTCCCAGCACGGTCTCCTGTATTCAGCGCCATGTTTGAACATGAGATGGAGGAGAGCAAAAAGGTGAGATCTAAAACCTTTTTTAAAAATTCTCATAAATAAATAGATTTTGTTCCTGAATGGCTTGACTGCTCATATCTTCATTGCTGTGCGGAGGAGTTAAAGTGAGTGAAGGATTGTGCACGGTCAGACGGCTGCACCGCAAAGGTGTTTGGAGAAACTGAATGATGCTGCGCCTGAAATGCAATTGTCCTGCTGGACTTAGAGGTCAAGATTCATCCCTCACTGTCAAAGCTGCAGAAACAGAATTGCCTTTTTTTTTCTCCTTCGCATTTTTCTTCCTGTGACTGTAAGAGATGATGTTTCAGGAGTAGCCACAAAAACGCTTTTCTCTTTTTTTTTTTTACTGGATCATTAGATTATTTTTTTTATGTTGCAACTTTTTTACAAAGTCAAACAATTTAACTTAGAAATAAAATATTTTTCATGTCTTTGGATTTTATCTGGATAATATATATAATATATAATATGGATATTATTATAAGCAGCAGATGAGGCATTATTTTAAGAATATGGTTGTGAACACAAATGAATCATTAATGATTTTTCTAGTTTTAACTGAGTGTCCACTTCAAGAGAAACCTGCTGGAACGTATTAATATTTGATTTGATGCAGGATTACTTTAAATACATGATGGGATTAATTGAGAACAAAGGTGGTCATTGGTGTTTAGAATAAAATTTAGTGATACTTATTGACACTGCATATATCTTTCATGATTGATTTAATCCACAGATTTCTGATTTAATAATATTTGTATTTGTGTGTGTGTGTGTGTGGGGGGGTGATGTAAAGAGCCAGAGGATGGAGAAAAACCTCGCAGCATGGAGAATATGTTGTCACAATGATGCCTGTTTTCTTCTCTCTCAGAACCGTGTGGAGATCAATGATGTGGAGCCTGAAGTGTTCAAGGAGATGATGTGCTTTATTTACACAGACAGGGCTCCCAACCTGGACAAGATGGCCGACGATCTGCTCGCAGCAGCTGATAAGGTGATTTATGAGCGCATTAATGCTAACGTGTCGATGTGTTAGGTGAAACTGATCAATACGTTCAAAGGGGGAGTATTACGTTAGTATAAAATGTTTTTAGACACTTCATCCTGGTGACATGTTTTTAGCCAAGTACTAAATTTTTTGCCCTGTAAGTCACATTTTTCTTGCATAATTTGCATGCCCTGCGACTCGTATGCCAAACCAACTTATTTATGGATTTTTCCATATTTATAAACCAGTTTTTCACTGAGATATGACCGTTTTCATTTATTCTGACTGAAAATATTGAACACTACCATTTTCAGCCACTAGATGGCACTCGAGCAGTATGGCATGCCGTTGTGTCATGCAATAGGTAAAAGTGGCTATTAATGACACAGTCAGCTTGCCAAAGACTGCCACCTTTGTTCAGCTCGCTTGGAGCAACCGTCAAATCGGCTTCGTTTCGCTGCACCACCCCGGCGAAAGGCAGCTGATTTGACCATTGAAGTGCATTTATTAAGTAAAAGTTCAACTGAGACACCATGTCTATAATTTCGAGCAAACAAATAATTGTTTTTAGGTGGTTATCTTGCTAAATTCTTGTTAAAGTCCTCCCGTGCACGCTTCCGCGGCCGCCATTTGGCAGCCAATCGATTTTTGGCACAACCCTGGCCCACATTTCCGGGTTATTAGCGGTGATGCATAATAGATGCGACTTATACAGCGAAGCAACATATTTATGGATTTTTCCACTTTATTAGACATTTGAACTGATGCGACTTATAGGGCAGAGAATACGGTATGTTTGGCGGTTGAGATCTCCCTTCTCTTATCCTCGCCAGAGCTTTTAATTTTTTCTGGCCCCATGATTTAATTCACCTACAAAATTATCCTACAAGTAAAAATGTCTGTAGACCGTTGAGTTATAAAGATTAGCACAATTTTGATGTTTTTTTTCCTTCTTCTCAGGTGGAGAATGATGTCAGGCTCTTGTTAATTCTTTACTGAATTGTTGTGTTCACCGAAGCTGGGTCACATTTCTTTAAACTTTGTTGTTAAATGGTATGAAATGCTTGTACGGAGGATTATTTTTTAATGTTTTCTGATAAGTCTTTAAAATATAGCAGAGCATCAAGTAGGTTTGTCCAAAATTAGGTAATGGAGAATTAATCAGAAGTAAATGTTGGTATGTATTTAAAGGCTCATTTGCAACAGTACTTCTACTTGGTCTTGTTTAGTTGCCTTCACACACACGACTGCAAACAAACTTCTTATCTACTAATGGAATAACTTTGTTGATCTGAGAATAGAAAAATATATTTATTGATTTAAAAGAAAAAAATATTACACTGTTTAGTTTCATCTAACAGCGAGTTTAGCTTACCTTATTTATTTTTTTGCTTTTTTTTTGTCAAATAATTTTGATGCTTAGTTATAATAAGTGCAGTGTATTTCCTTTCGTTACCACTTGGGGATTCATTAAATTTGCTTATAGGTTTTCACGTTTTAATTATTTTTCTCCTAAATACTGAGCAGAGCCGGCCAGTGCAGAATGTGCATTGATAATTTTCTAAACTGTTTAAAAGCCGATTGATGAGCTGCAGAATCTTGTTTCTTGCATCCTCCTGAATCACAGGAAGACCTCACCTTTCATAATAAAACCAAATCAAAGTTTAACTGGCTAACATCAAGAAAGTCCTCAGATCTATGGAAATGCTGTTGGCCATGTCGCACAGCGCTCCAGCAAATACTGAGTCCTGCAACTTTGTGTAACGAGGCTGTAATGCTGTATTAGAGACAATTTGAGCATTTTAAATAATGCGTTTCGTTTTAATTTTAGGAGAAATGTAATAAACTTTAATGAACCTACCGGTAAATTCCAATCATATTCGTTTTCAGAATTTAGTACGGATAAAAAATAATTTCAGATGTACAAGTTTCAATCTTAAAGCTTTAATTTTAAATCAAAGTAGGGAGTGTTTTAGATAGAAGATAGATCAGGGCCTGTGATGGTACAAAAACAAAGTATGAACTTAAAGATGGTCCCATTTTCAGACTTCAAGGAGCTATTTCACTCTAACCTCACCCTGCAGTGACACTATACGTGAGGCTGATTTTAAGATGAGGTTGACAATTTTTATAGTTTATGTCTTAATTAATGGTACCTGCTATTTACAGTGGTGCTGGAAAGTTTGTGTACACTTTATAATTTTCTATATTTCTGCATAAATATGACCTAAAACATCATCAGATTTTCACACAAGTTCTAAAAGTAGATAAAGAGAACACTGTTAAACAAATGAGACAAAAATATTATACTTGATTGTTTATTTATTGAGGAAAATGATCCAATATTACATATTTGTAAGTGGTAAAAGTACCGGTATGTGAACCTCCAGGATTAGCTGTTAATTTGAAGGTGAAATTAGAGTCAGGTGTTTTCAATCAATGGGATGATGATCAGGTGTGAGTGGACACCATGTTTGATTTAAAGAACAAGGATCTATCAAAGTCTGCTTAGTGGATCATGGCAGGAACAGAGGAGATTTCTGAGGAGCTCAGAAAAAGAGTTGTTGATGCTCATCAGGCTGGAAAAGGTTAAAAACCATCTCTAAAGAGTTTGGACTCCACCGATCCACAGTCAGACAGGTTGTGTACAAATGGAGGAAATTCAAGACCATTGTTAGACCATAGTTAGACCAGTGTTAGACCATTGTTAGACCAGCATTAGACCATAGTTAGACCAGTGTTAGACCATTGTTAGACCAGTGTTAGACCATTGTTAGACCATAGTTAGACCAGTGTTAGACCATT